ACAAATCCAATAATTGTGACGCTTCAATGGGTACATTTAAGTTACGCAAAATGAGATACGATAGAAAATGTTAAAGTATTTAGAATGAGGCTTAATTGCCATAAACAGAATGTGAAATCCTTTTTTAGGGAATGAATCGGAAATTCTTTCTGACCCAACAATCAACACTTGTCTGGAGCTCTGTGACTCTCGCTCTCCGGCTGACAAAAGTGTGCAAATATTCCATGGCTTTCGGCTTTGACCAGGCAAACATATTTGCCGAAATGCCTTTGGCTTTAATTTCGATAGACGACTTTGGCATTGGATCTGGATCTGGCTCTGGCTCCCGTCTATTTATATCTAAAGTTCCCCCGCCCATAACATATATATATCCCATATCCTTGGAGCTGGAGCAAGGAATGCCAGCAGCAAGTGTAAGTGTGGCGCATTCCACTCGTGTTGAAACTGTAAAATAGATGCTGCCATCCTTATTTCCGCCGCACACACCCAAGATGCGATTGCATTTTGTTACATACGAACCCACACATTGGTGTAAGTACAGTGCGGTTCATCAAGGGAATTACTAAAGGATAGTGCCTCGTTTGTTTATCTTAAGAATTATTCAACGTAGGTTTAAGGGGGGTTAAGAAATGATAGATTTATGTCTTAAGGAGTAGAGATATTACATATTAACCTAAGGTCTTGATTCAATTCTAGTAAAAGAATATTAAAAGTAGGTAAGTATGCTGGATATAATATATATTATATTTTATAAACACCAACTGTTTTAATGGAAAAAATATATTATAACTATAATTTTATGGCTGATATCACTATATTTTTGAAACGCAACGACAATCCCAACACATGCTTAATCTGGGAAATCCTTCTTGGCCTGCTTTCCCAAACACCAAATAACTAACAAGGAGGAGATGACGACGAAAGATGCCACCCCTTCTCGCATTCAGGTTCGGTATTCTGTGTGCTAGCTTAGCTGGTGGAGATTTATGGAGGAATTCCTAAAAGAAATCCAAGTCAATTACTTGCTTAATTATTTCCTTTGAAATTTATTGATTTCTTTCGCTTTCCCCTTCGGACTAAGGCAAGGAATTTTTGCTCAACACGCTTTCCTTCCCATTTGTTTTGCCTTGGAAACCTTGGCAAATGTAAGACTTAAACCAGAAATGAAATGGGGAAATACCAGAAGCAATTTTATCTCTTTTGGCGTTTGACTTTATTTAGAAGTGACTCATGACATTTTGATAGTAAATAGCTGTAATTATTAAAATGAAGAAATGTATAAAACTGTTGCATGTGTCATATAAGAAATTCCAAACAAACTTTCAAATTGGTATTTTTCTGTTGGTTTTCCACAAATTGATTTAAAAGTTTTCCAATAAATTAGCTTCCATAATGAAAAAAAGGAACATAATAGGAATAAAGCAACCTTGGCATCTCTTTGTCTTGTGCTAAGGGTAGTTGGTTGTTTGCTCAACTGTGCGTATGAGTAATATGAATATTGACGTACTCACGCTTCAGTGGTTTTTTGTTGTTGAAAACAATTTGTGTGTGTGAACTGCTGTTTTTGTTATTCCATGCTCTTTTTATTATTTTATATGTGTGCAGTGTGAGCTCATTGGTGAATGTTTTAAAAAAATAACCCACTCGTGTTGATTTTAAAGCAGTTCTGTGCCATTGAGTATTTTGAGTGGAAGTGAAGTTCACTTGCGGGCCTTTTCAAACAAATTGAATTATTCTGTAGTATGCCTTTATATTAATTGATTAAAGACTTTATATCATAAATAAATTTAAGTAAAATTAAATGATATACAAGCTCCTAACTCTAGTATATCTAAACAATAATGTAACCTTTAAATGGTAATTTTTCGAAACCAATTTAAATAAAAAGAAGCCGAATCTATTATATTTTGATTCAGGTCAATGTCTGGCGGGTAAATTAAATCCAAAAAACGAATCTGTGATACATTCACATGTTGGATTTATGCATTCCGCCGGCGAGGGTCACTACAATTGTTTTCACTCACACAGAAGCGACGCTTTTTTTGTTAAACTTTTGGTGTCGCATTGAAAATGTCTGGGTTTTTGTTTTGTCCTTTAACGATTTTGTGTGTCTGTGTGTGTGTGCACCCCACGGCAACAGCCACAACGAAAATCTCTTTATTGGATTATCCTGCAAAATTTACGCGGCATTAAAAGCGGCCAAACAGGACCCTCTGCCCGCGGTCCCTGGGGATCTGAATAAGTGTATGTGTGTGTGTCCTGGGTACTGGGTGCTTCAAGGGGTTAAGCGCAAAGGTAGCCAGCTCGTGAACAACAAAACGAGAGAAACGTTTATTTACATTTTTAAGGTCGTCGTCGACGCTTCCATTAGTCCAACAACGAGCTCCCAATCCGACCTCCGACAAAAAAGAAAAAAAGTAAAATAAAAATAAAAACGTAAAGGAAAAGTAAAAAAATCCATTAGCTTGGCATTTCCTACTTAGAGCCATTTAAAGTTTTAAGGCCGCAAAAGGAGTAGCTAGCAATGTGTTTCTGGTCCAAAAGAGTTGGATGAAGATCTAAGTAATTGAATTTGGTTGTATGAAAGATATAACAATATAGAAAATAATGGGAAGATATAAGTGGAATTTTGGGTTTTAAGGAAATTAACATTTCTAAACAGTACTTAAACTGAGCTATTTTAAAGACTGGTCGAACTGTACTTATACTTAGACGCATTCTCAGAACTTTTCCAGTTCCTGGGTTTTTCAAATCCCAGTTTCAACCTCTCAGCTTTGCATCAGCAAAAAATCCAGAAGAAAGAATGCCGCACGCAAATTGCTGAGAGAACCCTGCAATGCCTGCAAACGATTCTGGCTTCCTGTAACCAGGACAGTCCAGGACCATATCCTTAAAAAACGAAAAGCTTACGAAAACATGCGTGTGTGTTTGTACGAAGGTCGTTTGTTTGGCTGCATCAAATTGAAAAACTCAAACCAACAATGTCCTTTGCAGAGCGTATCCAAAGTCACTCGAAGAAAATCAAATGTTGATATGTTATAACATCTCTTAATTTTACTTAAGTAGTACTTTAATAAATTAAGGAAATAGAAATTTATATTCCTATTAAATATTTTATATAACAAAAATTCTTTATTTTTAGAAAACTATCAGTGATACTTTCAATTAATAATAATAACTTTGTTTGAACTGTCAGCGCGTGCAGGGTATCATAGCAACAATAATTGAATATAATTTGGCATAGAAGTCAAATAAGTGTGAAAAAGAAATTGAAAATGTCAAATGGAAAAGTATGATGGAAGTGGGTTTTCTTTTCACTCATGCATAAACTTTATCTAGAATAGAATGATGAAGAAACGTGTCTCTTATATATTGTGTTGTGATAAAATCTAAATTCAAATGCAATTTTGCATATTTAATACGTGAGGGATGAAAAGGAAACCATGACACATGATGGTTTAGATTCTAAGACTAAAGTTTAAAACATTTCTTAAGAATTTCCCCTACAAATACCTTCGTTATAAGGTAAAACATGTTAAGTTAAGATTTTTCCCACAGTACATTTAATATTGCATACTTTTCGTCCTCGCAAAAAGCAAAATAATATATATTTGAAAATAAAATAAATAAATATATGGCAAAATAGAAGTGCTTTGTTGCCCGCAGCTGCATCAACACAATTGTGGAAAACTACGCCCCGAAGCCCTCTTGCTTTTTGCTTTCCTAAAAATCACGCATGACAAATGCCAGAGTGCCAGCAACAACAGCTACCAAAAATATTCGAAGGAGGTTTTGAACGGGTTTCTGTCGTCCTTTTTTCTCTTTTTTTTATTTCGACCAGAGCAGCAATGACTTTTTACAATTTTCATATGAAATGAACCATTAAATTGAATTGGCATTAAAATTATGTTCATGTTCGTGAACGAAACTGGAGCGCAGGCGCAGGGAAGAGACTTTTCTAGCTTTTGGCACTTTGCATACGACTAACCAAACCCATTCGAGTTCGAGTTATTTGCATTTTTATTACAACAACTGCTAGAGCGACGCATTTGCTGCTCCAAAGAATGAAAAAGGATGAAAAGGAATGGAAAAAATTCAAATAAATGTTTGTTAAGTATTTTTGAATTGAGTTTCATGCACACTCACTCGCACACACACACACACATTCATACTCGCATTAGAGGCAACTGAACGGGGGAAAACGTTTAGCTCCATGCACCTGCTGCTTCACACACAAACAGCAATGGCATCATCAGGACATCAGGGCTCAAGGCTCATGGCTCATGGCAACGACAGCGACAGATGTTTGGTAATATGAAAGGTGAGGAAATATGAGGAAACTGGCCAGGTTTCCTCACAATAAACTCGGTACACTTGAAATACGAAATCCTGCAGGGAAACCAAGGAAACTTGGATCAATCTCTGACGGTAGTTCAAGGAGAACTTGATCGAACTCATATGACATTTAGAACTTTCTAAGGGATAGAAAACAAATATTATAGTTCTTGTTCCTTGGTAAGTTTATTATTAAATTTATAGAATAGCGAAACATGTTTGTTTTCATATATAAAATAATATTTATCTTTCAACTGAATAACTGAAATGATTACTCTATTAATGTCCTTAGATTAGACACTGCCTTCTGTTGAAATTTAATCAGCAACCTATTAGCAAAACTAAGACAAACCCATTTGATAAGACCTTAAATTAATTAAGAACAAAAGGAAATTCAACAAAAATATTTTTTAATTAATAAGGTAAATATGTTTTTTGTAATCTATAAATCAAAAATGAAAACAAATTTGCTTTCGAATGAAAACTCAAGCCATGGTTTCGAACTAGACGGTCATGGAAAGACTCCTTCCTTAAGGATATTTAAAATTACTGTTAAATATCAATCTGTTTTAGTTTTCTTAATTATATTATGTTGGAAAAATAAACCTAAGCATAGTATAATTATATTAAAGTGATTTCAAAAGTTAGTCAATCACAGCAGGTTAGTTATTCAACTTCATCTACAATTTGAATTCGTTATTAATTTTCACATTTTCAACACGTATCCCCGACTCACTCAGTTGTTGTTTTTACAAGCACACAAGTTCTAGTACAGACTAGCGAAAATTTCTTCAAAAACATGTTTGAAAACATTAGTTTTCTTTTCCTATTTGCAATGGCCCTTATATCCTGGGCTGTGCTCTGCCTCCAGCATCTGGTTGAAGTCCAAAAGCGCGCTGCCTCCAATTATCATGAGGAATTCTACAGAGGTGAGCAGGAAGACTTCAACAAAGAAAATAGCATAAAATACAATGTAATTCTTGCAGAGCGACCCGAGATTGCTTTTGAGCCACGTATGAGCCACAAGCCCTCAGATCCAATTGCTGTAAGAGGAGTCTTCAATTTCACTTTGAGCTTTTGGGTGATACTCGCAGTGACCTTTGGCCTGTCGAAGCTCCTTCAATTGATCGAAAGACAGGCCAAGAATTACCTGAAGAACCTTAAGGCGCTACAGCCAGTTAACGCAGTGGAATGCCGATCCTTGACAGAGTATCCTGTCGCAGAAGAGAATCAACCAACTCCCGATTCAGTTGCAGTGGAAGAAAATGCAGCTCTGAGGGAGCAGCTTAGCGTTCTTGAAACGCACTGTTTGGAAATGCGAGAAATAATGCACGAACTGAGACTGAGCAAAAGTTCCACTAGCCAATCCGAAGATGAGGGTGTAGTATCGTTGAATCACTCTGAAGAATCCTTGATGATTGGAAAGAGAATGAGCTACATGGCAATGTCCCCTTCCACTCACTCTTTGCCACTTATAAACTGCTCCTCCCAGCCTGGTCAGAATATCTATATCACAAATAGCCACATTCACATCCGAGGACCCGTTTTCTGCTCGGAAAACAGATTCAACTTGGAGCTCTCCAGGCAGGCATCGATGTATGCGAGGAAGCAGAGCGAATTTATCCAAGTGTTTGGAAAATATATCACCGGATCCAAGGAGCGCCCCATGATAGCCGGAAGTATGCGTTGCAACAACATCCTTATGTGAGGAGTGCCACCAAATCTATCAATAGTACGCCTAATAAACATTAATGTGCTTAATTTAAGAGAGAAAATAAGTAAAGTATTCTAAAACCTACATTTAAGTTGTATTAATTTGTTTCACAAAGAAACAACTAAAGGAGCTGCAATGTTAAAGCTACTGATTATGGTTTATAGTTTCGATGCATTCAAAAATCACGAATGCTATGTTTGGCCACCATTTCGGCATTCCTAAACATTTTCCCGCCCATCAATTGTGGCTTAAATTTCGCAGTTGGCTCCAACTCCGGGGCAAGACTCTTTATGGTTTCGATTTTACGATTCCCTCGCACTAGTTGCAGGCATCGCGTGTCCCTAATGACCCGCGACAATGGACGCTTTTGGAAATCCGAAATTCGGTGGCCACCGCCTCCTTTTGCATATTGCACTGCAGCTGACATAAAATTGCCCTCGCAGTCCGGGGCCAAAACACTGAGCCACTGAGCCACTCTATGGCACAATCGAAAGCAGTTTACAGTCGGGGTTTTTGCAGTTTATTGGTTTTGCGACAGAAAGACAAAACACCAATGGGGAACTTCTTCAGTGGCAGAGGTTTTCTCAACTCGGTATTTGGGGTACTAAATAGAGTGCTTCAATTGCATGGCACTTGGTTTTGTTCTTCAATGAAGATTATTGATTGGGTTAATAAGGACTTGGCAGCAAATTTATTTGAATTCTGTATTTAATTAAAATTTAATTAAAAAGCTTTACGCTGTTTAGTTTATTTTTAAGCTTGGCTTAAATCAAGAAAATATTTGGTAGAGCCTGTAGCATTCTTCAAGTTTATAGTATTTTCTTTTAAGAAATTCTCGAGATCTTCTCTGCAGATATAAAGATGTTGTATTTTTCCAGCTAGTTTAATAGTGTTTTTATAGATGTTTTTTTATTTTCGTTTAATGTTCAACCATTATTCTCTAAACAGTCGTCGCATTCCGTTTTGTCTTTTAATTTTAGCTGAATTTCTTAAGCAGCTTTTCCTTAATATATTCCGAAAGGAATGTAGTGCTTAACATAATAAAAAAAAAACGAAATAAAACTTATATCAATTTAAAAATAACTTTATAACATTTGACAATATTTTCCTTCACAAAAAAGAATTAAATTCCCTTCCATTTGAAGCCTTGAGTGGCTGTCGATGGGTTCGATGCCACTCGAACCGTTTTTTCGCGAAAGAAAGGAAAGCACGATGAAATCCTTTTCATGTTTTGACATTATTTAATTAACAAGCAATTTGCTTTGGCCCGATGCTAATTAGGCGAGCCCCATCAAAGGCAGTAGAAGACACAAGTCGTCGTTTTCGTCGTCTGGCGATGCACCGAAGCGAGCTCAGATTCCACCTCGCGCCTTAACCCTTGACAGCACCAACGCCTTCAGACACATTTCCATTTTCACACTCAACGTGCCGAAAACAATTAAATGAAAATGAAACTTACAAAAAAAAGGTCTCCTTAAGGAAACGAGAACAAAAAAAGCGATTGCTTTTGTCTGAGCGAAATCCTTTCAACTTTTTTTGTGGGAGTTCCCCGCCCTCAGCTAGAATCAAATTTAAGGTGTGTATCCAATGATTTTTGGTGATGATGAAAAGCCGCCGCTTTCCCTCGGGAATCCTGAGCTCATTTGACACGCGGCGGCAAAGTTTGCTAGCTGCACGCACCACAAGAGTCAGCTAACTATAACAACTTGCATTGCATGCCTCTTTGAGTCGAACAACAGCTATAACAACTAGCACGGCATTAGTGGTCGAGGACTCTGGTCAGGACCCCGTTCTGAATGCAATAAGGCACTGAGAGAAAATATAGATCAAATACCAAATTCGAAATACTCTATTAAAGTACATAGTTTTACAATTAGTATAATATTTCAGCTTTAAGTCTAGAAAATGCACTTGAAATAATTATTACCTCTTTCTACCCCAAGTCTTTTCAAGGGAATAATGAACGCTTTGAAAATTCTTTTTCTTGCAGTGCATGGAGTGGAATCGTTGTCATGGTCACGTTCAACATCTGCTGCTGCATCCGGCTGCTGCTCCGCACGAACGGACGATGAATGGCGGCCATGTTCCGAGCTCCATGTTCCATGCACCAACCGCAACAATTGTCAAACAAGCCAGAAAAATGGCGGCTTTTTAGTTTGTCCCTTCAATGGTAGAAGCTACATTTACTTCTACTGTTTCTTTCACAGCTGCTAGCTTCAACGATTTGTGGCCATGCACTAACCATTGAATGACTAATGATGCGAATAAAAGTGCATAATTTATCATTAATGAATAAACAAATCCCAGCCTCTTTTACTTCTCCTCTTTATGGATTAATTTTTGTTTGAGCAAGCCATTCCACCTAATGAGAATTCCTTTCAATTAGCGGTCAGCTTGGTACATTTATGGGATTTGTCCAATGTGTAATTTGTGGGGGAAAACTTTTGTTTATGACTCCAACACAACAAATAAAAATTTGCCTAATGCTCACAGTTTGTTATGCCAAAGCAGTAAACGCCCACGAAACCGAGTCCTCTAGAAATCCCCATTTTATGCTCAGGAACTCGCCGCAGGACCTCCGTCAAAGTTGCCGCAGTAATAAAGGAGATTACCTTGCACATAACATGTGAGTAGCCGCCAGAGGCGAGCGGATGGAAAGACATTTGGCGGGACCAAAATGATTACTAACCTAGCCGCAAAAGCCAAAAGGAACCTTTGACGATCCTGGCCACTGCAGACTCTGTCTCGGTTAAAGGAAGTGGGAAAAAATTGGAACCGGAACTGCGGACCTTGTCTGTGGAGTTTACGAAATTCATTAATGCATTAATAGTTTCACCTGAAAACTCTAGCCTAGTTTTACATATTTTAAATATTGTTAAAATACAACATTTGCAACTATATAGGTTTTGTTTACAGCTCCATCTCCCCTCTTTTAATTTTGAGGTAACCACAACATGCAAGCCCGAGATTGAGCATTTTCTTAGCCAAGACTTTTGCTTAGTTTTTAATTGCAATTAAAAAGTTGTGCACTAGAGAGAAAGAGAGAAAAATGGGCTGACACAACCACCGAATGTGCTATGTGGACTGTCCAGTTTGGATATGGCTCAGTTTTGTCACTCCCCAAGGTTCCAGTCATAATGGCAGAAAGGACACTGGACGTTGCATCTGAAAAGGGCGTGTGGCAAGTCCCACAGTGTGAGACTCGTAGTGAGCCACAAAATGGCCATGCAACCAATTTTCTAGCATAAAACAAGCTAACTTCTTTCCTCCGATCCCTGGGCTCACCCCTGTGTCTCACTACTTTTGCTTCCTTCCGGCCTCGCTGAAATTTCTCTGTGCAGACTTAATGATTTTTGGCTTAAAGTTTTACCAGTTAGCAGTATTTTTGCAAGTAGTTAACATTTTATGAGACAAACCAACCCACACCACCTTTTGCCGGACCAAATACCCAGGGGGCTTTATTTTATGCATTTTCTAGGTGCACTATGAGAAAAACTATAGAGAAAATTGGAGATAGAGTTGGAATACATAGGAAATTAAATGTTATATTAAACTTGGAAAAATCTTTATAATCTTTATGAAGCCTATTTGTTTTATTTTTATATATTTGTTCTAGGTTCATGTATTTTTCCCAGTGCATTTTGGGAAGAACTTACCCCTTTACTGGCCTGGTCTTCTCCTATCTTATGAAGAAAATCAACGAGAGAGCTAGACGCAGACCAAGACGATGACGACACACAAAAACGAAACGAAAACTTGATAAAAACTTTTATCATAACAATTTGTGTGTTGTTTTGCTTGCTGCTTTTGCTGCTGCTCCCTTTGCTCCTACTGCCCTCCAATAAGAACAATGGCTTCGTGTTTATGTGAGTCTGGGTGTAATGAGAAAAGTGTAAGTGCATAGCCTCCAGCTCCAAGAGAACCCGAAGGCTAGTCCAGGCATTGAACTTTAAGAGAATTTAACTAAGCATCTTGGAAATATATGATTCTAGTCCATCGTATATATTCCCAACGCCAAGATAGATACTTCCCCCTAATCCAATACATAAACCAGTTACTAGTTTGATCGTTTAGCTGAGACGCTCACCATCTGCTACGAAGATCGTTTAGCTAATGGCACAACCCAGTGGCTGTCAAACACTAGGCTAAGCTTTCACCTATATAGTCAGCCAGCTATATGGTTATTTGGCTGCAGACAACGTCGGCTCTAGAGTCAAGTTCACAATAAAACCATCGAAACCTTGCCCTGGCTCATTCAGTTGGCTACTGTCACTCGGCCTGGCTTTTTGGCGTTTTGGCTGCTTGGTTTTTGCTTGGCTTAAAGACCTCTTTTTTGGATTTGGTTTTTTTGTTTGGCTCACGTGAGCTCGGGAAGCGCGATCCGCGACCAGTTGCCAAAAGCCTAATGCAATAATAACGAGTTTCACGGAGTCTCTCGGCTTATTTCGGTTCGGAAACATTTCCAAAAATCGCGTGTGCAGATGCGCAACAGTCAAGTCGAGTCGTCGTCGGGTTATCCAAACAAATAATATCAAAACATTAGCATTTGAAAATACGCAGCCTTGTCTCTGGGCGTCTCTCAGTTTTAATTGAATAACTACACTTCCAGCCGGTTCAAAGCGGTTTCAGCCGCATGTTACCTTACCATAATTTACCTTTATTAAAGATCAAAATAAAATAAAAGTCTGCAAATCACTCAGACACAAACCTAATTGTCACACAGTGAAGTGAACTTAAGAAAAGATCTCTCAGAATATAACCTCAGAAGCAGCTATAACAGCAAAAGGTAACGCTATACTAAGGTATTTCAAAGATATGAATGTCTTCTTTAAATTAAAGAAGAACTTAAGGAAATGAATAGTTATAAAATACAGGGAATATATTATTAACTTATTTCTTTTAGTTTAATTAAATTGTAAGAAAAACAAATACCTAACTTCGGTTTTATATATAAATCAAGGGCATGTTCTTTGATTTAAGATCTTAGTTAATGAGTAATTCAAAGAGACTTTTTCTATAGTCTGGATAATAACCGAAGGCAGATTAATGACTCTATATCAAATGTCTTTACTTGGAAATCAATTTTATTAATTGTAAATCCGATTTTCCCTATGACAGCTATAAAACTATAAGATTTGCTTTCTGATATTACAGCATATATGAAGGAAAAGGGAATTACTTAAAGAATATAGCTAGAACGACTCGTCCACTGATGCTTATTGGAAATGCCTTTACCAGGTGACATTTTAAGATCAAAAATAAAAAAAATAAATAATAAACAAACGATATTGATATGAGTAGAAGTGCAAATACATTTAATGAATAAAAATTTTTACAATTACCATCCCCTCTACATTAAGATAATAATAAGCCACACTCAAATTAATTCGAACTTAACTTTGTAATCTTAAAGCATCTAAAATATCTCAATATCAAATCGAACACTCGACAAATTGACCTTTTCCCCCTATACCGTTTTATGACGTATACGCAACGTGGATATCAAACTAATAAACTTTGATGCATACCAATATATATATATATTTATATATATTCGTGATTTGTCTAACGATCGTTACCGTCCATTTGTTTTGGCAGCGAGCGCAACAAGTTGGCCATATAAAAACACGTTTTTGCATGCTAATGCCCTGTCCGGTAGTTAACTGAAGTGTTTGTTGTTCGAACAAGGTAAATTTGAATAGGTTTATTTATTTATAACATACTGCAGACTTTGCTAAGGCCTTATAATTACTCTTTCCGCAAAGTAATTAAAATATAATAATAGTAATATAAGCCGGTCCCAGACCATCTTTTACCCTTTTATTTATATTTAGTTTATTTCAAAATCTCTTCAAAAACAAAATGAAAACTAGTTGAAACTGCCTAAAACTCATCTCGGCTGACTGGTATTTGTGACGTCAGTAACGACATTCTCTTTATTCCACTAGAAGAACTGAATATAATTTTATTTTGGTGACTCATCTTATGGGGAAATCATTTGTTTTGTTTCAACGTCTGCTCAAAAGAACTCAGAATTTCTTACTAGAACTGAAAAAACCAGTTTGCTAATAAGAGAAACAAAAAAAGAATGCAAATAATTCATTACGGATCCAAGCCAGTTGTGTGCTTTTTTTAGGTAATTCCATCTTGTTTGTAATCACAGTGATGAATGGGGGATCCACTTTTCTGTTTCAAGCTTAAGACAATATGAAACTCAGTCGTAGATTGAAGGTAGCTCTTTATTCCTAAGAGCCTTCAATCTTAAAGAGACAGAGGGTTTGAAGGTGGTATTTCTTTGTCTTGCGGTGCAGTTTATAATTAGAAATATAACAATACAATCAGTAGAAGATAGGTGATATTGAGCAAGATCGCTGGAGTGCTTAAACATTCTTGTTTCAAACATTGAATATTTGCATTTAATGAATAAAAATTGTTAAAACCTTTTTTAAATTTTGCAACCAACAGCTAATAATTTAAAATTATAATTCTTAAATTCAGTCACAAAGTTATTATCTCTGCTGATATTGCATCTATGTATCTTACAGATAACATTCCATGATCTTCAAATGCGGCAAGAGATAGAAATATATTTGGCAGGCACGAAGTCTGAAGAGTGCACACATTGAATTATTTCGAATATTATGAGTCATGATATCGGCAATTAATTAAAATTAATTTGACAGTCACATTGCAATTGAAAAACGTGCTCTCCTACCTTCAATTAATAATTCTAAATAAATGCAAACGAGACGTGTCAATATTTTAAGCTTTTACCAACCGGTTCCCACAACTCAGGCACAGAGACACTCGTAAATATATGACTTGCCAAGAAAAATGTAAACATTTATAGAGTAAATATTAAGTTATTTAACACATTCACGTCTAAACTGTTTTATCGCCCACAAAAATTAACAACTGAACGCAATAAATCCAACAATGTGTTAAGTGCTTAAACGTCTCTATCTCTTAGTAACTTAAATAAAAGAAAAAACTATACTGTGTTGTTCTGATATTATAAAAGTGGAGTATTTGTAATTTTATTTGTTTTTTGTAAGTGGAAAGATATCAGCCTTAATTGGCATTGTGTAGTCATTGAAGATGTACCTTTATCTAAGAAAATTACAGAGCTACTCATGTCTTCATGATTGCAATCTGTTAATGAAATATTTCACAACTAGCGTTAATATAAAATCATACTAATTAGCTATGTTTAATATTTTAATGTTGAATGAAAATAATTGTTAAATTTTTAAGAGACCTCAACATGAGACCTTGAGATTTTTATAGGAGAAGGAAAAATGTGTGAAAACTTATTCAAAAAACTGCGTTTTATTAGTGAAGATTAAGCAATTTTAATTATATTTTATATATAAATTTTTAGTCCCAAAATATTCCCAAACTTTGACGCTTCATTGTTGAATACAATTGACGCCAGACAAGTGCCATAATTTGAGTATCTAAAGGGCATCTCTCTCTCCCTCTAGATCAGTCTAACCACAAAAGACTTATCTAGCTTGTGATAATGACATCATTTCTTATCTTCAAGATCCCTCGGACGTCTCTGATTGTCAGTTATACAGCTTCAGAGAAGTACTCCCAAAAAAGTGACTATTAGTTCTGCTTTGCAATTCCTCGCTAATAGAACGGTTTGCTGGCCAAAATGGACGCATCCCACAGGAATCATCGAAATCCAGCCTTCGTGGGCGACGATGGACGCAGCATTGCCAGCACAGTGGACATTTCGGTAGGAAACTGCAGAAAAATAATCCATGAGTCAACTAATCATCATTCCATAGGCTAGCAGTGCTGCTCCCCGGGATAATGCCAACGACGATCCGGAGGCGAGTAAATTGCCAGAGGAGCGTGCCACCTGGGGCAAGGGTGTGGAGTTCCTGATGTCCTGCATTGCCATGTCCGTGGGTTTGGGCAATGTGTGGCGCTTCCCCTTCACCGCCCTCGACAATGGCGGCGGTGCCTTCCTCATTCCATATCTCATTGTGCTGTTCCTGATTGGCAAACCGATTTACTATCTGGAAATGGTAATTGGCCAGTTTTCCAGCCGCGGTTCGGTAAAGGTGTTCGATTTGTGTCCCGCCATGAAAGGTAAGTGCCTGTGAGAACATTGCAGTAGATTCACGGTTGTCATGCTCTTTTCAAAGCTGAAGTGGTAAATATAATAAGCTTGAAATAAATTTTTCTAGTTACGGAGTTCCTTAGGAATCAGAAATCAACACAAATTAAATACCTTTATATATTCTTGGGAAGAAAAAACAGCAGAACTTCTACTATAGATATATAATATAGTATTTGTGAAAACAACATCTATATTTAATCATTTTCAAAGGTAATTCTCAAGTATGTGAGCTTAAATTTCTCTGTAAATCTTTGTGCATTCCACTGTGAAAGACAGTACGTTAAATGCGATCAGTTAGGGCCCCAATAAAAGCGTATTATCCCATTCAGCCAAGAGCATGGCAACAGTGAACATACAGAAAGTACATCGTCATTCTGTTCATCAACCGACCTGCGTGTATATCCCATGAACGCAACCGCATCTGTAGGCGTCGGAATCGGCCAGGTGATATCCATATCCATGGTGACCACCTACTATGTGGCCATAATGGGCATAACCCTGCGCTACCTCTTCGATTCGTTTCGTTCGCCGTTGCCCTGGTCCGAGTGCCGGCCGGAGTGGCAATCCCAATGCGTGGCCTCCAGTCTGGGTAACACCACCTCCCAGTTGGCCAAAACCGTGGATATGGAGATGCTGGCCGGGCAGAAACCGGTGGCCTCTGCCGAGTTGTATTTTCTGTAAGTACGGGTTCCCGTTCCCTTTTTCCTGTGGTTGGATCGGGACCTGTGTCATTGTGGGTTAGTGGTGTTGCAGCGGCATGTTTTCGGTGTTTTTCGGTATTGTGGGTGTGTGTGGGGTGGTGTGTGTATGCACAGTGGGTAATCTTATCGCGAAACCCCGGCGCGAACTCAAGTTTATGGCCAGTACGACAAAAGGCGCATAACGTTCGCTTTATTGCTCTACTAATTGAATGAGAACCCGCATCCCTCTCCGGGCAATTATGACGCCAATATTGCCATCAATTGTGAGGGCACTGCAATAGACCGATGCGATTGCAACAGCCAAATAGAGACGGCTTCGGTTTCATCCATTCCTCGGCAGACCAATTGTCAATATGGGCCCAGTCATTGCCCCAGATTGAATCACTCAATCACTACAATGTAAAACCTTCACCTTAAACTCGAAATTACTTGGAAATGTAATACACAATTGCACCTTAATACAGAAAATTTCAAAAGTTAAAGGAACTCAAATAATTAACTAAGCAGAAAATGTTCACCTTAAATCCGTCACCCCATTTTTAAGACCTTTCGCACTCAATTTTGGAGAAAGATATTTTATTTTTTCCACCCTAAACTGTGCATGAATTCACTAATTTTAAAGTAGGTAATTTCATAATTATATATCATCGCATATTTTATTGCAAAATTTATCAAATTGCTTGCTTTTTAGTTCCACTAACATATTTTGAATCTACCAAAAAACTTTCTCATGTTCCTAATCAACCTGCAAACTCATTATGCTTTCTCATTTAATTTGTGTTAACCTATTATTTTCCCAAAATTGTTTTTAATGGAATTAAAAGGTGTTGGAGCCGGTCAGGCCTTCCAGGTGTTTATGCTCAGCACTTACTACGCCGCCCTGGTAGCGATTATTGGTCGATATTTCTTTGAGTCATTCCAAAACCCTTTGCCCTGGGCCAAATGCCGGGAGGAATGGGGTATCAACTGCATAAACTCAGCACCCGATGCACCTAATTGGTCTCAAATGGATAAAGATGATCAGTCCCCGAAAAATTACTCAGTAAAATCAGAAAATGATCGTCTGATCACCAGTTCGGAGTGGTATTTTGTGTAAGTGCTAAGTTTTCTGGAATTGTGCGGATGTGACGCTGGGATTTTAAAAAATTTTACATATATAAGGATGTATTCAAAAACTTTAAGAAATCTGTGCAAGAAGCTATGTTTTGGTATACAATTTTTCTCTAGAGATTAAGCAGGAAGGTGTCACAACCGCATGAGTATGAAAATCGGTGATGGTTTTTGAACCTAACTCATTTTGAATTGGTGGTGGTTTGCACCTGACTATAAGTCCCATAACTCGATTCTTTTCAATCTTTCTAGTAAGGAGGTGTTGCACGAGAAGCCCAACATTGAAAATGGCATTGGTCTGCCCAACTGGGAGCTAGTCATTGGATTATTTGTGGCCTGGGCCTGCGTGTTCCTAATCATTCGCCGTGGAGTCAAGAGTTCCGGAAAGGCCTCGTACTTCCTTGCCATTTTCCCATACGTCATAATGGGTGTCCTTTTGGTGCGAGCTGTAACCCTGCCAGGATCCCTGGATGGCATCTACTATTTCATTAAGCCACAGTGGGGCAAGATCTTGGATCCCAAGGTTTGGTATGCTGCCGTGACCCAGTGCTTCTACTCGCTATCGGTGTGCTTTGGCAACATCATCATGTACTCCTCCTTCAACAAGTTTGGTCACAATGTACATCGAGATGCTACGATTGTAACTGCTTTGGATACGATGACTTCCCTGCTTGCTGGGTTTACGATATTCGGAATTCTGGGACACTTGGCTCATGAGATTGGCACCGATGACATTGGCACTGTGGTGAAAGGAGGAGCAGGATTGGCCTTTATTTCGTATCCTGATGCCATTGCCAAGTTCAAGCAGCTGCCGCAGATCTTCTCGGTGCTTTTCTTCCTTATGCTCTTCGTTCTGGGCATTGGATCAAATATAGCCATGACCTCCTGCTCAGTGACAGCTATCCGGGATCGGTTTCCCAACTTTAAGCAGTGGCAGTGCTCCCTGCTGATTGCAGTAGTCAGTTTTGTCATTGGACTAATGTATATTACACCGGTAAGATATTAAGAATACGATTGGATTTCAGAGAACTTTATACATAAATCAGATGGAATTATCAGATCCTTGGAATGCTGAATTTATCCTTTATCCTTTTTATTCAAGGGCGGCCAATACATGCTGACTTTAGTGGACTTTTTGGTGCCTCGATGATAGCATTGGTTCTAGGAATTGCTGAACTGTACACCATTGGATGGATCTATGGCACAGATCGCCTGTGCAAGGACATTGAGTTCATGCTGGGCCGCAAGGTCGGCCTCTACTGGAGACTTTGTTGGAGCATAATCACTCCCCTGATCATGACTGTTATTCTGATATACTTCTATGCAACATATGAGCCACTGACCTACAATAATATTGTGTACCCCAGTTGGGCATATAGTAAGTCTTCTTAAACTTGAAAATTAATACAAACTAAAGGTGTTCTTTTACAGGTATTGGTTGGGTAATTACCGCTTTTGGTATATTACAATTGCCAATTTGGATGATTGTTGCCATTATCCGAGATCCAGGTCAGTCTCTGGGGGAGAAAATTAGAGGGGCTTTTACTCCCAAAAAGAACTGGGGACCCACCGACCCTCTGCTCCGTGAGCAGTACAACAAGGAAATTGAGAACGATCTGACCCCAAATCGGGGAAAGGGTATTTGGGCTGCCATCAAGCAGAATATTTTTGGTTAATCCAAGCCATTGAAAAACCAGGTGCAATGTACATAAAGTCCAAAAGATCTTGTATTAATCCTAAGTCTGCCAATAAACTTGATAAGTATGAAATCAAATACATGTTTTAGTTTTAAAGAATATATCTTTTTATAAAGCTTTTCCAGCATGGTTTTGTAGTTATTACGTCTTCTAGTTCCGATAAGGTGTAATTTAGCTTGCACATCACCTTGATTAGTTCCAAAATGCATTCAGGAGCATTTTAAATTATCAAAAAAGAGAGATAGAAACAAAAGCTAGAGCTATTCTTATCCACCCATCAAATCACCTCGTTTCGCTTCCACTTCGTTTTGACCCCACAAATTGACCGCAACATTTGACAATTTTCGGCATTTGCTAAATCCGCCGCAAAAATGGTGGCTGGGAAAGAGATAGGGAAAATCAAGAAAAATGTTATGTACTTTGTCTCCGTTACTGTTCCAAATCAAACAATGGAAACGGACGTCAGGGAACGAGGGAAGGGTCGCCTCGGCAGTCGCCGGTCTCTCTTATTGTAAGCGAGGTACAGTGGTAACAAAGCGAATGTATTGCTACAGAATGCTACAGAAACCATTACGAGTTTGAAATCTCCTCAGGAAAAATTATTTTTGAAATTTACCACAAAATAATTATTATTTGATTGCATACTTTTGGTTACGTTTTTCAAAACTCTTTTATGACTTAAAAAATTCTGGGATTCTTTTAATGCCTTACCATGCTTTAATACGTATTATGTTGCTTAGGTACAATTATTCTTTATTGTACTTTAAAAATGTAGTAGTTTGAATTGCCTAGCCAAGGATTTAGTATATATTAAGAATATATTATAGTTCGAAAATGTTGTAATTTAATAATATATTCTAAATATCACATAATTCAAGATTTTCAAACTATACGAAAGCTATATGTGCCATTATATGATTATTATAATTTAAAGTTTCTTAATATGTTCTAAAAAAATATACAAAATTTCATATTATAATAAATCCAGACTTAAGGTCTTATAAAATTCCTTAGAGAGAAATAACAATACGGGTTACTATAAAATATAATACATATCCTGTTATTAATGAATGTAATATACTTGATTATAAAATATATTCCATTATTCAAAATTATAAATGTAATATATTTAATCTAAACCCATGTTGTAATATTTCTCCTATGAAATATATTGAATATTATTGTTTCATAATTATAGAAAATGTGATATATTTAATATTAACCCACATTGTAATATTTTCCCTTTTAAAATTGAATCGCAGAGTTCAAGAAAGTTAGTAACCACTGTACTCTTATGGCCAAGAGAGGAAGACGGGCGTTAAACTCAACGACGAGGCATCTTAGAGATAATTGCTTTGATAAGGCTTCGCGCTCGGTCAAAATGGGAAGCTCGCGGCTGTCCGAGAGCATTTTTTATAAATGTCACCAAATATTTACATGTCGCAGCAGCATTGTGGAGCGACTAGTATTTTTTTTTCTTTCTTTTTTTTTTGAGGGGAGGGGAGCTTCTCCGGCAACCCCGGTCACCCTGCTCGCCCGCATTCGGCCTGCGGCTTGACTTTGCCAACTGTCCGGCAGTGGTAGCTTCCAGGCCGCTGATTCCGGATGGCGGTTGCCGGCGCCGCGTTGCTGGAAACCGCATAAAAGTCATTGTCACAGCAAATGGATTAATTTTCGCGACACGCCGCCATATACACCTCTCTTTCGGGTCCACTTTCTCTCTCTCTCTCTCTCCCTCTCTCTATCTTGCTCTGTCACACCCCCAACGGTCCGCTTGTCTTTCCAACTCTCTCCCATCTCTCTTTTACATGCTATCTATTACAGTTACGGGTATATTGGAAGCAAGATTCCAGGATTCCAAATTCAAATTTTAGGAACATTTTATTCATTCATTCATTCATATTTAAATTTTTATAAAAATAATATAATATTAATGGGATAATAAAATAAACAAAAATATGATTTCAAACTTAATAATTTTTAATTTATAGTTTATAGAATCATAATTTAGTAGCTTGAGGCAAATAATAGATTAAAATCATATATTTGATATATTTATTTAGATATACAATTTCTAAGTTCCCCACAGTTACTCTTAAAGAATCAAAACATATTCTTCAAAGTAATATTACTAAAATAATAAATAAAAAATTAATTTTAACTATTAATGTACAAATTTTTCATATAAAAGCAAGTACATAATAATTTTTCAACAAAGTTTTAGTTGATAAAAATGAATAATTCAAATATTCTGGCTTTTAAAGACAAATTTGTCATACATATACATATATAAGACTTCTTTTTTCCATTTTGACTGAATTTATTATTGTAAATTACTGTAGTGTAGCAACTTATACAATAGTGAGCATATATAAGACGATACATTCAACTAATCGGAAATGATATTACTGGGTATTAAACAGTCCATCAACTGATAAATATCACTTTTACTAATTTTTTTTTTTGTTCGTTATAAAGAAATTAAAAAAGCCTGGTCTGTGGTTCAGCAGCAGTATGGGGGTTTGGCATTTACCGCAACAATAATTACGTTTTGGGTTGGTTTTTCAGATCCTGATGCTGGCACGGAAGTGTATAATGTTGCTAAGTAGTTGCGGTTATTTGTTGTTGTTGTTGGGCGACATTTTTGTTTCTTCATCGCCCTTTGTGTTGTTGTTTCGTGTTCCGTAATTATCCCGAAAGGCAACAGGAGGTTTATTTCATACTGTAAATGCTACATAATTAAGTTTTGTAGATGTTTAAAATGCGAATAGAACTGGCTTTACTTTTACGTTTTTTTTTTTTCGTTTTCTGTTTTTCAAAGATAAGTAAAATGAATCTTCTTGGAAGAGCGGAAGTTATTCGTTTCGTTTTATTTGACGCAAAAAAGTATGCTATACTTTTCATGACAGAGATTGAACACTTGGCATTTATCATTTTGTCGTTTATTATTTCCGCCTACGAGTATTAAATCTTTAATTTAAGTCCCTGACTTTTAGCAACAATAATTCTATAAAGAATTTTATGGAAAAAATTTTTCTTCAAGGATTTCATTAGGAGTCTTTCTTCTCCTTTCTTCAAAGTATTACGTATACGACCCATAGTACTGAATTCGGTATCATTTGTATCATACAAAAAAGTATTCAAAAATAAAAGACAGCAGAAATATAATTTGTATATCAATGCTCTCGAAAGACATGCGTATTCTCGAATAAAAGATTTGTAATCCTGGCGCCACCCAAAACCGATTTTTACCAAAACGGAATGATTTTCAATACACACACTTTTTCCCCCACTGGTTTCTTCACTTCATTCTGAGTGCTGACATTTTGCCAATCAGTCCAAGTGCCGAAAACTGTTGCAGAATGCAGAAAATGTGCACACACAGATACCAAATAGAGTTCTATTTAACTAAAAGCTAAAAACACCGACAGAAGCCAGTCAGCGGGCTTCCTCCTCCTCCATCGCCAAAAGACCGCATTTCTTGCCTATGCTCACAAACGCATTTGTCTTTCTTGCCGAACAGCCCGCAACATGCTGGAAAATACGAAGTCCTTCTACTCCTCCTCCTCCTCTGGCTTCCCCAAAAACTAATCCCCAATTAGGGATGGCATTGAGTGAGTAATTGAAAGACAAGCTCCCACAAGTGCGTTCTAAACTCATGCTCTCTGGTAATGTAGGAGTAACATAGTATAGGTTTTAGTAGCAGAAAGTTGCCTTATAGGGAGTGAAATTAGAAATTACATCAAATGGTACTCGGATAAGGTGTCAACATTGAGTAAAAGGTAAATTAACTATTTATTTTACTTAATTAAAATAAATTAAATATAAGAAATGTAAAATCTCTAATAGGCCTTTAGCCTTTTACGATCAGATGACGAAGGATTCAAATAATTGGGGTTTTTGTACCTCTTTTCATCTCCATTAATATCAATTAATATTCATATTCATTTGTAATCTTATATGTATTTAAAGCTTATTTTACTTTACTTTATTTATGATATAAATACATAGTTACATTTAGTATTACATTGTACATATTAAAATGAATCTTTAGGTTAAGAAACATATCTTTTTCGTATGATAAAAGTTCTGACAAAAGTGGCAAACAACAGGGACATTTTAAAATTAAATCAATTTATATTCTATAAAAAACTGCTTCTTAATTTGGTTCCCTTTTTATAGAAATCAAAAAACATATTACAATTTTTATTTTAAATTTCCCAGAAACTAACCATTCAACTCACGCCACCATCTCCATTTCGAAATGTAGCTCTCTGCTTCAGTTCACAGATACCACTGGATACGCCAAAAAAGATTTCCAGCTAAAAGCGAACCGCCATAGAAATGGACCAAAAGGAGAACACGCCAGGACGCCAGGACGTCAGAACGCCGGAAAAAGGACAGAGCTAAAAAAAATTTGGGAGTTCTTGGGAGTTCTCAGAAAGAAAAAGTTGCGCGCTCATGCGAAGAGCCGCAAATGTGTGCAATGGGCATAAGTTTCAAAATGGGCCAGAGATGGGTTTCCTTTTTCCTGTCTGCACACCGCCATTTTTCCTGTTCTCAAACACTCTTTTTCCCCAACACACTCTCTCTATCTCTGCCTTTGCCATTTCTTTCAGCGCCGGGTGAAAATTTCAACGTAATTTCGCGAGCGTGTAAAAAAAAAAGAGAACTTGAAAATGTTTGGTGTTTAGAGCAACTGACAGGTGCTGCAACTCTGCCTGGATATGGGGATATGGGGTTGCAAGGATACGGGGGATGCAAGGATACTGAGGATGCTGGCCGTGTTTGTTTTGCGGCTGGCACATGGCGAGCAAACATATGGGCGTGTGGGCGAAAATCGGATGAAGACCAGCAAAATAAAGTAATTGAATTTTCATAGTGCCCAAAGCACACAAAACTTTTGCAGCACTTTGCTTTTATATGCATTGTGGACTGCATTCGGTTGTTGTTAATTCGCTGATTGTCTTTTTCAAAGAGCACCAAAAAGGCTTTCAAAAAATATCTAATGACAAACTATATAGGTATCTATTTAGTATTGTTATTTATAAATTAAAATTTTAAAACTTCAAAAATAAA